TTTTAAAAAGCACAAGTAGTAACCATTTATCTGCACTTTATGTTATATACTATTTTGTAAACCGATTTTTTAACTTACACTTTTCCTATAACCTGTACAACTCTTTATAGGCCCCAGTTTTAACTGCTTTATACTATTTCAAGATGACCACTCTTCTTCCACCCTACCATACTGTCTCTTCCCAAGGCATGCCTTCTGGAGGGCACAATACAAAATATATATAATTAGGTAGAAATATGTAATTCAATAGTCATGCCGTGTAGGGCCACCCCAGATGGACGGGTCATGGTGGAGAGTTCTAACAAAACATGGTCCACTAGAGAAGGGAATGGCAAACCACTTCAGCACTCTTGCCTTGAGAACCCCATAACAGTATGAAGAGGCAAGAAGATATGACACTGAAAGACGAACTCCCGAGGCTGGTGGTGTCCAGTATGCTCCTGGAGGAGAGCGGAGAAATGGCTCCAAAAGGAATGAAGAGGCTGAGCCAAAGTGGAAATGGCGCCCAGTTATGGATATGTTTGGTGGTGAAAGTAAAGTCTGATGCTGTTAACGATATTGATAGGAACCTGCAATGTTAGGTCCATGAATCAAGGTAAATTGGAAGTGGTCAAACAGGAGATGGGAGTGAACATCGACATTTTAGGGATCAGTGAACTAAAGTGGACAGCAATAGTCAAATTTAATTCAGGTGACCACTGTATCTACCACTGTGGGCAAGAATCCCTTAGAGGAAAGGGAGTAGCCCTCAAAGTCAGGGAAAGAGTCCAAAATGCAGTATTTCAGTGCAATCTCAAAAACGACAGAATGATCTCTGTTCGTTTCCAAGGCAAACCATTCAGTCAATATCACAGTAATCCAAGTCTATGCCCAACCTCTCAGTGCCAAAGAAGCTGAAATTGAAAGGTTCTGTGAAGAACTATAAGACCTTCTAGAACTAACACCAAAAAAGGGATGTGCTTTTCATCATAGGGGACTGGAATGCAAAAGTAGGAAGTCAAGAAATACCTGGAGTAACAGGCAAGTTTGGTATTGGAGTACCAAAAAGAAGCAGAGCAAAGATTAGCAAAGTTTTGCCAAGAGAATGCACTGGTCATAGCAAACACCCTCTTCCAACAACACAAGAGAAGACTCTACACATGGACATCACCAGATGGTCAGTGCCAAAATCAGATTGATTATATTATTTGCAGCAGAAGATGGAGAAGCTCTACACAGTCAGCAAAAATAAGACCAGGAGCTGACTGTGTCTCAAATAATGAACTCCTTATTGCTGAACACAGACTTAAATTGAAGAAAGTAGGGAAAACCACTAGGCCACATGACCTAAATTAAATCCCTTATGATTGTATAATGAAAGTGATAATCAAGGGATTAGATATGATAGAGTGTCTGAAGAACTATGGATGGAGGTTTATGACATTGTACAGGAGGCAGGGATCAAAACCGTCCCCAAGAAAAAGAAATGCAAAAAGACAAAATGGCTCTCTGAGGAGACCTTACAAATAGCTGTGAAAAGAAGAGAGGCGAAAGGCAAAGGAGAAAACGAAAGATATACCCATTTGAATGCAGAGTTCAAAAGAATAGCAAGGAGAGATAAGAAAGCCTTCCTCNTTTAGGCCATTTGGCGGAACCAACTTGAAGATAGAGTCTGGGGTTCATTAACATAGCTTAAGACAACATTTCCATACGAAAAAGAAACGTATTGGTCAACTCAAGGTTTGAGAGTAGTTAGCTTCAGGTGAGACCAGGTGTCATGGCAACACAGCACTTTAAGAGAAACCTCTTTTAAATTTGTATAGAGAAGGAAAGATTTATCGTTGGTTTGTTTCTTCCTGCCGCTCTTAGAGATAAAAATGTCTGGCACCTGCAGCTTCTTTTTTCCATTTGGAGACCCCTGGCCTTCCTGCCTGTTACCCTCTCAGAGCCAAACATCTTGGAGTGTGAGGTCAAGTGGGACTTAGGAAACGTCACTGCGAACAAAGTTAGTGGAGGTGATAGAATGCCAGCTGAACTATTTCAAATCCTAAAAGATGATACTGTTTGTTAAAGTGCTGCACTCAGTATGCCAACAAATTTTGAAAACGCAGCAGTGTCCACAGGACTGGAAAAGGTCAGTTTTCATTCCAGTCCCAAAGAGGGTAATGCCAAATGGTTCCCAACTACTGCACAATTGCATTCATTTCACATGCTATCAAAGTAATACTCAAAATTCTTCAAGCCGGGCTTCCATAGTATGTGAACTGAGAGCTTTCAGATGTTCAAGCTTGATTTGGAAAAGGCAGAGGAGCCAGAGATCAATTTGCCAACATCTGTTGGATCATCCAAAAAGCAAGAGAATTCCAGAAAAACATCTACTTCCATTTCATTGATTATGCTAAAGTGTTTGACTGTGGATCACAACAAAGTGGAAAATTCTTAATTAGATGGGGCTACCAGAGCACTTTACCTGCCTTCTGAGAAACCTGTATGGATATCAAGAAGCAAAAGTTAACAGCAGACTGGTTCCAAATTGGGAAAGGAGTACGTCGAGGCTGTATATTGTCACCCTGCTTATTTAACTTCTGTGCAGAGTCCATCATGTGAGATGCCAGCCTGGATGAAACACAAGCTGGAAGCAAGATTGTAGGGAGAAATACCAATAACCTCAGATATGTAGGTGACACCACCCTTATGGCAGACACCAAAGAGGAACTCATAACCTCTTGATGAAGATGAAAGAGGAGAGTGAAAAAGCTGGCATAAACTCAACATTCAAAAAACAAAGATCATGGCATCCAGTCCCATCACTTTATGGCAGATAGATGTGGAAACAGTGGAAACAGGGACAGACTTTATTTTCATGGCTTCAGAGTCACTACAGATTGTGTCTGCAGTCACAAAATCCAAAGACTCTTGCTCCTTGGTAGAAAAACTATGACAAACCTAGACAGTGCATTAAAAAACAGACATTATTTTGCTGAAAAAGGTTCATATAGTCAAGTGTATGGTTTTTCCATTAGTCATGTATGGATGTTGAACCATACATGTATGGAGTTGAACCATAAAGAAGGCTGGTCACTGAAGAACTGATGCTTTTGAACTGTGGTGCTGGAGAAAACTCTTGGACTGCAAGGAGATCAAGCCAATCAATCCTAATGGAAATTGATCCTGAATATTCATTAGAAGAACTGATGCTGAAGCTGAAGCTCCAATACATTAGCCACCTGATGTGAAGAGCCAATTCATTATAAAAGACGCTGGTCCAGGGAAAGATTGAAGGCAGGAGGAGAAGGGAACGACAGAGGATGAGATTGTTGGATGGCATCACTGACTTGATGGACATGAGTTTGAGCAAGCTCTGGGAAATGGTGAAGGACAGGAGAGCCTGATGTGCTGCATCCCTGGGGTCACAAAGAGTTGGACATGACTGATTAACTGAATGACAACAAATATAATTCACTGCCAGAATTAGCAAATGCAACTTTATGAGGGGATTAAGGGAGGGAGATATTATTTTAATCACTGTCGATGGTGACTGCAGCCATGAAATTAAAAGACGCTTGTTCCTTTAAGGAAAGTTATGACAATCTGAGACAACATATTAAAAAGCAGAGACATCATTTTGCTGACACAGTTCCATATTGTCAAACTTACGGTTTTTCCAGTAGTCAGGTATGGATTTGAGACTTGGACCATAAAGAAGGCTGAGCTCAGAGGAACTGATGCTTTGAAATTGTGATGCTGGAGAAGACATGATGTCCTTGGACAGCAAGGAGATCAAACCAGTCAGTCCTAAAGGAAATCAACTTTGAATATTCATTAGAAGGACTGATGTTGAAGCTCCAATACTTTGGCCACCTGATGTGAAGAGCCAACTCATATGGAAAGACCCTGATGCTGGGAAAGATTGAAGGCAGGAGAAGAGAGGGGCAGAGGATGCGATGGTTAGACAGCATCACCAACTCACTGGACATGAATTTGAGCAAACTCTGGGAGATAGTGGAGGACAGGGAAGCCTGCGTGCTGCAGTCCATGGGGTCGCAAAGAGTTGGACATGACTCTGTGACTGAACAACTGCAATATTACTTTTTTAAAAAATTATTTATTTACTTACTTGGCTGTGTTGGGTCTTAGCGCCATGCCAGATCTTTAGTTGTGACATGTGAACTCTTAGTTTGCCATGTGGGTTCTAGTTCTTCAACCACAGTTCGAACCCAGGCCCCCTTCATTGGGAGTGCAGAGTTTTAGCCACTGGACCACCAGGGAAGTGCCCAATATTACTTTTAATTGACTGATTTGAATACTTTCTAGTAACAGAACTAGGGCTTGGAGGAAAAACTTGCAAGGACAGATGATCTAGTTGATATAAAGCTAGAAATTATGACCTTTTCCAATCAAGATAGTGTCTGAAATACTTCATGCCTGCACACGTGTGTGTGTGTGTGTGTGTGTGTTCATGTGTGTCTTTGTGTGTAGTAAGAGGTAGGGAAAGATAATACTTAATAGTGGCAATATTTTAAAATGAGATTGATAAACTAATATTACTATACCACCTTACCAGTTAATAAAAAAGCTTTGATTGTTTGCATTTATCTTTGATCAGTAAGTAGCAATAAAAGTTCAAGGATGTTATAAACAAAGCTCTGAGTATATTACTAAGCCCCAGTTCCTTTTCTGCACTGTGAGAAAAAATACAAGAAAGCATAACCTTAGTCTATTTGCATAGTTTAAAGAAAATTATTGTGTTGTTAAATATTTTTAAAGTGCCTTTTCTTTCCTGTTTTTCCCAAAGACAGAAAAATAATTGGTTCTGATTATAATTGCTGGATATTATGAAGCACTTATCCAACTGAAAGTCAACAAAATGAAATGTTTTAGTTAGGCTGTTTTTTGAAGTATTCTATAATTGGAAATTCATTGTATATGTTTGTCTTGAGGAATGCTTAATTAGGAAGAGGGATTAAGCATAACTTCCTGATTTCATGCTGTATTCATGTGTGATTTATCCGTTTTTTTAGGTACCCAGAGGCTTACCTTACTTCTGTGTGAATTTTGGCCTCCAGGGTGGGTTTGCCCATGTCATTGAAGATCAGCACAAATTCCCACATTACTTTGGAAAGGTATGCTCACAAATTTGTAAAATTCCAGAATTTAGCAATTTTGTAACACTTCTTTTGAAGGGAAATAACTTTGGGCACAATATACAGTGAAGTTGGTGACTACTGTAAAACCCAGTTTTCAGAGGGAGTACCCAGAAGCTATTAAGAAATATATACCAGGATATTTAAAACAGTCAGGAATGTAACTTTGGAACCAACCAATTTGTTGACACTGTCAGTGGTGACTGTACTGTTTTCCTGTGGAGACAGCCAGGTTTATGCTGAGAATGATAATTGATAATGATGATAACCTATTCATTGAGGATTTACAGTGAACCTGGTAATGTTCTCAGCACACATTTAATGCTCATAATAACACTATCTTGTAGACATTTTATACTTTCATTTTATAGATGTTGAAACCAATCTACACAGGCTATATAACTTCCTCAGGATCATGTGCTAGTAGTAAGTGACAGAACCAAGGGGTGCATAAGTTCTTGCTTGAACTAGAAAACAAATGATCTCACATATTCATTTATAACTAAGTACTGTACAGTCTCAGAAGAATATAGCACTCATTCCACACAGTTTCTGGTCAGATACTAGAGTGTAGATCTTTCAGTCGCTAGTGGATTCTTTCCATTACTACAGATTGCCTTCTAGGGGTGTAGTCCTTAAATTTAAGTTCTGTTGAATATCTGGGAAGTATGTAAGTTAGTATCAGGGCCTAGAAAGAAACTAATGTAGCTGTGGGGGAGTCAAAAGAAGTTCGGTCAATAACAGCTCAAGAAAGTGGCCTTTCAGTCTAGTGTAGGTCAGGCCTTTCTCTCTAAATTAGAGGAGCCTAGATGGACTTTGTCCGTGGCTCCCTGTTCTTCCTCCCCACTTTCATCCCCGGTGTCAGATCATTTTCTACAATGATTAGGGACCTGTGAGAGGTTTGGACTCACAATTTTTTATACTATTGTCCCTAAAGGCTAATGAGAAACCCCAAACCACATTTATCTATGAACTGTTGAAATGTGTTTTAGAAACTTGTCTGAGAATTTTTCAGAATATCTTTTCCCAGAGTTAACTAGAAAGAAATTTGTTTTCATTGCTCTGAAAAACATTGTTAAATTTCAGTAGAGTTTTATAATTCAGAACTTTTATGACTCTGCTTTTATTTATTTAAAAAAATGATTCTAGTGAAAATGAAGTAAATATCTAGTTTTTAACTTGCATAAGTTTAATTGGGAGATTGTCCTCCAAATATTATGCATATGTTATGATTTATATGATACTGTTTTAGTATTAAAAACTTCTTTAGTTAGCATTACATCACTGATCCATTTTCCTCGAAATTTCTTTCCAAGAAAAAGCCTATGTACTGACGAACTCCCTTCATCCTGCAGTTGTTTAGACAGCAAGAAGAGTTGGTCTCTTTGCATTAATATCTGCTTCAGTAACAGAACAAGAATCAATCCTTAGAGTACGTGTACCTTAATGGCACACACGAGACAAAATTTGATGTTTTATAGACAATTTTAGAAAATTTTAGAAAAATTTAGGTCAAGAAAGCTAGGCTTTCTTAAACTACATTGCTAGTGATTGGCTGATGCTAAGAAACTCCTGCATTAAATTTGTGCTCTTTTTAAACTGTGTCCCTCTTGGCCCCTTTTCTTCCTTTACCCAATGAAAAGACTTCCTTTTCCATGAAGCTTTTCTTGATTTATCCAGCAAATAGAATCTCCTTTCTTTTTGAGTCTCCATATAGTCTACTTTGGCATTTACCTTATTCTGCTTTATAAGACAGTCCTTTATGTAGTTATTATTGTGGCTTCCACCACAGCTCTGCATTCTGTTATGAGTTTTCTGAAGACAGAGAAATGTATGTTAGTTATTTCTGTATCACCTACAGTATTTGGCCTTTGCTTGTGTATAGTAGATCCATTTATTAATAGAATATTTGTTAAGATGAAGAAACCTATGTCTTAGAGCAGTTACATCCAAGGTCTTAAAGTCCTGTAGACCTAGACTGAATATGCAGAATTCTACCCCTAGCCCCGAGTTTTCCTGTATTACCGTACTTCTCTTCCTTGAAGCATTATAAATCTCCCCCATATCTTTCTCTATATGGATACTCACTACCATGCATGTGTGCTCAGTCATTGAGTTATGTTCAACTCTTTTGCGACCCCATGGACTGTAGCCTGCCAGACTCTTCTGTCCATGGGATATCTCAGGCAAGAATACTAAAGTGAGTTGCTATTTACTTCTCCAGGGGATCTTCCTGACCCAGGGATCAAACCAGCATCACCTGCATTGGCAGGCAGGTTCTTTGCCACTGAACCACTAGAGAAGCCCACTCACTCTCATAAATTTAATTAATCTCTATAGCTGATATTATAGGAACAGGAAGAGAGTCATGAAAGAAATGATCTAGAATAATAAGCAGACCATTGAAAATATATTATTTCAGGGCTTGGGAATATGGCTTTTTAAATGAAGGTGATTTATAATTTTTAGTTATTGGTTTATATGCATTGGTACTAAAATATGATTTCATTTCCTAAAAAAAGATCTCCAGCTAATAGAAGAAACTGGTTTTTAAATATACTGGGTAGTAGGGAGAACATTAGCCTGAGATTCAACAGTAGTTAACAATCAAGTTTATAATTTCTATATGTTGGTCAACTTTTTCTTCAGACTTTCTTACCAGATCAGCTAATAAGGACTGAATTAATTAAATTTCATTTTCTCTTTTTTCCCTTTGCTGCTGTCTGATAGATGTACTACGAAGCAACAAGATAGACAAATTGTTTGACAAGAGACGCAACTAAGGTCCCTTGGAATCACAGGGTTTACATAGTTAGAATTAAATGAAAACAAGTTTGTTTTTTTTTAACTTGAAACTAATATTTATATAAAATTTGAGTGTCCTTGCAGAGAAGTACTTAATATTATATTTAGTAACAGAATAAACAGGAATTGCTTCATTCCTGTTTTTCAATCTTTATACATGTGTGTGTTTGTATTTTTCTCATTCTTTAAAAGGAAATCATTGGTGGCATGCTGGATATAGAACCAAGAGTTTGGAGGAAAGGGATGCGAGAAAGCTTTGAAGATCAGAGGAAGAAAGCACTGCAGTTTGCTCAGTGGTGGAAACCATTTGACTTCACAGGAAATAAAAAATGTTGAGGCAAAGCTTTCATTTTTTATTTCCTTTTCAGATTTCTTTCAGTTTTATTTCCATTGCATCTAGCTGAACAACTAACCATCAGGTAATAGAAAAAGAGTGTCATGATCTGGGTTTCTGACAACTGTACATCACTGAATTGTATTGGTTTCCTTCACTACCTGCTCCTGTGGACTGCATTGTAGTAACCATGGAGACCAGTTATGTTGGGTGACCTGTTCATGTCCTGTTCTGTACCTGTGTCTTCATGTTCTAAACTATTTAGTTAATCTGTAGAAAGACTTTCCTGAAGAATTATCTAGGAAGTATCACAAATCATTGGTTCAGAGGGAAATAGGTCTGCTTCAAGTTTGTTAAGTCTACTGACTAGTTTCTTTTGCATTTAAACTAAAACGTGGCACATTTAGTTATAAATGAAATTTCTTTTCATAGCATCTTATAGAAGCTCTTAATTTTCTACCAATACCATATATATCACTGCTATTCTTTTTATTAAAGGAAAAAAGAATGTCCCCAATAATAAATAATTAAATGAGGTATATAATACGTTCGTGATTTGTTTTTATTTCTGTAGTTTTAAACAGTGTGTTTGAATTTTGGTGATTTTACATGTACTTTCCCAAAATCACAGTTTATAGTCATTTGGGGTTTTTGTGAAAGTTAAAAATATTTTAGCCAAGTCATCATTTTGGGGTTGTATTGATTATTACAAAATATTAACTAATAAGTAATGTGTGTATTTTTAAGTGGCAGGAGCACGTTCTGTTGTCCTATTTGATCTAAAGTTATTCATTTTCTTTTATGTTTACACGTGGTATGAAGAGAAAAAACTGATAAGTATAAAATATGGGCATCATCTCCAAGAGTGTTGCTACTTTATTTTTTACATGGAAGATATTTTTGTAGCCACCCTTTTTCAAAGATGTTGATTTTTTGGAGCCAAACCTTGACATTTTGTCATGAAATGTTGAATATTTAAAATCAGTGTGACATGTACTCTAGAGTAACTCATAACCAGACAGCTATTTTTAATATTGATATATTTATTTAGTATCTTGAAAAAGGATATGTTTATGTTCTATCTCCAGTTTTAAAATTTTAACAAAAGTTGGGAGTTTGATCATTTCAAATTCTCAGTATTTGCAAATTGAATTTAATAGTTTTTATCATTGATAATTGACAGTACAAATTTTATTTATTGCTGTTTTCAGAGTATTATGGCCTTGCTACAAAATCTCAAAGAAATTTTTAACATTCACTTATTCCTTATTCACTGACTGTGTTAACAAACATTTGTTTACAGGGAATTTTATTGCATACTGATAATACAAAAATAAAAAATACTTCAGTCATTCAGTTGTGTCCGACTCTGGGACCCCATGGACTGTAGCATACCAGGCCTCCCTGTCCAGCACCAACATCTGGAGTTTGCCCAAACTCATGTCCATTGAGTCGGTGATGCCATCCAACCGTCGCATCCTCTGTCGTCCCCTTCTCGTCCCACCTTCAATCTTTACCAGCATCAGGGTGTTTTCCAGTGAGTCAGTTCTTCACATCAGGTGGCCAAAGTATTGGAGTTTCAGCTTCAGCGTCAGTCCTTGCAATGAATATTCAGGACTGATTTCCTTTAGGATGGTCTGGGTGGACCTCCTTGCAGTCCAAGGGATTCTCAAGAGTCTTCTCCAACACCACAGTTCAAAAGCATCAATTCTTCGGCACTCATCTCTCTTTAAAGTCTAACTCTCACATCCATACATGACTACTGGAAAATCCATAGCCTTGACTAGATAGACCTTTGTTGGCAAAGTAATGTCTCTGCTTTTTAATATGCTGTATAGGTTGGTCATAACTTTTCTTCCAAGGAGTAAACATCTTTTACGTTCATGGCTGCATTCAACATCTGTAGTGATTTTGGAGCCCTCCAAAATAAAGTCACTTTATTTCCACTGTTTTCCTATCTATTTGCCATGGAGTGATGGGACTGGATGCCATGTACTTAGTTTTCTGAATGTTGAGTTTTAAGCCAACTTTTTCACTCTCCTCTTTCAGTTTCATCAAGAGGCTTTTTAGTTCATCTTCACTTTCTGCCATGAGGGTGGTGTCATCTGCATATCTGAGGTTATTGATATTTCTCCTGGCAATCTTGATTCCAGCTTGTGCTTCATCCAGCCCAGTGTTTCTCATGATGCACTCTGCATATAAGTTAAGTAAGCAGGGTGACAATATACAGCCTTGACGTACTCCTTCTCCTATTTGGAACCAGTCTGTTGTTCCATGTCCAGTTCTAACTGTTGCTTCCTGATCTGCATACAGGTTTCTCAAGAGGCAGGTCAGGTGGTCTGGTATTCCCATCTCTTTCCGAATTTTCCACAGTTTATTGTGATCCATACAATCAAAGGCTTTGGCATAGTCAATAAAGCTAGAAGTAGATGTTTTTCTGGAACTCTCTTGCTTTTTCAATGATCCAGCAGATGTTGGCAATTTGATCTCTGGTTCCTTTGCCTTTTCTACATCCAGCTTGAATATCTGGAAGTTCACGGTTCACATACTGTTGAAGCCTGGCTTGGAGAATTTTGAGCATTACTTTACTAGCATGTGAGATGAGTGCAGTTGTATTGAGGTTGGAGCATTCTTTGGCATTGCCTATCTTTGGGATTGGAATGAAAACTAACCTTTTCCAATCCTGTGGCCACTGCTGCGTTTTCCAAACCTGCTGGCATATTGAGTGCAGCACTTTCACAGCATTATCCCTTAGGATTTGAAATAGCTCAACTGGAATTCAAACTTTATTTATAGTGATGCTTCCTAAGGCCCATTTGACTTCACATTCCAGGATGTCTGGCTCTAGGTGAGTGATCACACCATCCTGATTATCTGGGTTGTGAAGATCTTTTTTGTACAGTTCTTCTGTGTATTCTTGCCACCTCTTCTTAATATGTTCTGCTTCTGTTAGGCCCATACCATTTCTGTCCTTTATTGTGCCCATCTTTGCACGAAAAGTTCCCTTGGTATCTCTAATTTTCTTGAAGAGATCTCTGGTCTTTCCCATTCTATTGTTTTCCTCTATTTCTTAGCACTGATCACTGAGGAAAGCTTTCTTATCTCTCCTTGCTATTCTTTCAAATTCTGCATTCAAATAGGTATATCTTTCCTTTTCTCCTTTGCTTTTGGCTTCTCTTCACAGCTATTTGTAAGGCCTCCTCAGAGAGCTATTTTGCTTTTTTGCATTTCTTTTTATCCTGGATGGTCTTGATCCCAGTCTCCTTTACAATGTCATGAACTCCTGTCCATAGTTCATCAGGCACTCGTCTATCAGATCTAGTCCCTTAAATCTATTTCTCACTTCTACTCTATAACCATAACGGATTTGATTTACACAGGACTGGGAAAAAGACTCTGGAGGGCACAAACAGAACCTCGTGTGCACCAGGACCCAGAAGAAAGGAGCAGTGGCCCCACAAGAGACTGATCCAGACTTGCCTGTGTGTGTCCAGGAGTCTCCAGTGGAGGTGTGGGTCGGTGGTGGCCTGCTTCAGGGTTGGGGGCACTGAGTGTATCAGTACAAGCATGGAATCTTTTGAAGGAGGTCTCCATTATCTTCATTACCTCCACAATAATTTGGCCCCAGGTAAATAGCAAAGAGTTGGACATGACTGAGCCACTGAACTGAACTGAACTGAAATAGCTGGGAGGGAACACAGCCCCACCCATCAACAAAAAAAATTGGATTAAAGTTTTACTGAGCATGGCCCTGCCCATCAGAACAAGACCTAGTTTCCCCATCAGTCAGTCTCTCCCATCAGGAAGCTTCCGTAAGCCTCTTCAGTTCAGTCACTCAGTCGTGTCCGACTCTGCAACCCCATGAATCGCAGCACGCCATTCCTCCCTGTCCATCACCAACTCCTGGAGTTTACTCAAACTCATGTCCATGAAGTCGGTGATGCCATCCAGCCATCTCATCCTCTGTCGTCCCCTTCCCCTCCTGCCCCCAATCCCTCCCAGCATCAGAGTCTTTTCCAGTGAGTCAACTCTTCGCATGAGGTGGCCAAAGGATTGGAGTTTCAGCTTCAGCAACAGTCCTTCCAATGAACACCCAGGACTGATCTCCTTTAGGATGGACTGGTTGGATCTCCTTGCAGTCCAAGGGACTCTCAAGAGTCTTCTCCAACACCACAGTTCAAAAGCATCA